GCACTGCAAACACCCCCTCAGGAGCAAGGCTGTTCGTGAAGGGAGGGTGTCTCACACTGCACAGCACCCAAACGAAGGATCCCGACTTCACGGGGCGCTGGGGAAGCGTTCAGGCGAGGACACCGCTGGACTCACCGATCTCAAACGAGTGCTCCAGCAGCAGCCCCACGGTGCCACAGGCCTCGTCTCGACCTTCCACCCCGGCCTGCGGACAGAGGACCCCAAGTGAGGACCAACAGAGCCCTCGCCCTGACCCCGGGCAGACCGGCATCCTGAGAGAGGAGCCTTATTGTCACACTCATATCCAAACACTGACGCTTGCCCACGGCTCCACCGCCCATTTCATGAAAATTCAGGATCTGGGCGGTCCCCAGACAACCAGAGCCTGCAAGCACGCTAACCTCGTTTCCAAGGCAACTACCCGCGCGGGTCACTCTCACGCCCAGTATCATTAATGTGCCTGAGTTAAAAGGCACCTGCGCTTCCTTTCCAAGCTAATACTATCCAAGTAGCCTTAACTGCCCCCCAAAAGGAGCGATCCACGCCCTCCTTTTCTCCAAATCTCCAAATTTCTCCTAACTCTGCTGCATCCGCCACTCTCGCACCTGTGCAACCTCCGGTCCAAATTTTAACCCCGGATCAAGTCCCGCCCCCCTCATGCATATGCATGCAACAGCACACACACCCCCTCTGCCCCCCTCCAATCACGCTAGAGCCTTCCACCCCGCCATTTTCATTTTAGCGGCCCGACGTCTGATTCGCCAGCATTCCACCCGGGCCATACTTCCTCATGCATATTCATGCGGCAGGTTCCCAGCGTCTGAACGCGGGAGAGGCAGCCTGGCCCCGACCGTCACCACGCCGCGCACACAGGTGCCCAGGTCCCACCCGAGCCCCGCCCCTCCCGCTGCCCTCCCGCTTCTTCCCAGTTGTGCGGCCCCTGCAGGTGCAGGGCTGCAAGCTCGCCTTCCACGGTGCTTTCACCTCTCTTCCCTCTCGGCCCTGCGCGGCCCCGTTCCCGCCTTCACCGACCTCAGAGTCCGAGGCTCCCGATTTCTGTCGGCCGCGCCAATGAGTACTCACCCCCCGCGCAGCGGCCCCGGACCGGCAACCACTGCCCCGCGCGCGGCTGGGGGCTGCGGCCGCCATCAGCAAG